TGATAGGAAGGTCATCAGTCACTTACAATCTTTCTTAAAGTTCAAATAAACTTGACAGAACCTCTTTCAAAGCTGCTAAAGCCAATGTAAAAATAGGAAAAATTACCATCATAGTTTTTGATTAATCCGCAGGATGATTACATTGACAATACCAAATTACCAATTCTAAATCTATGCTGGCATTACTTGTTAAGCTCAAATGTGGGCTTACAGAGCTTATTTGCAGAAGCCTACTCATAATTTTAGTTGGAAGAGACTTCTGTTTTTGGCAGAGCTAATGTTTACAACAGGAGTTAACGTTGGGAGTCTAGCGTTGGGAGACTTAACAGCATGAAACATTTAGGTGACAAACTTTTTCTAAGTATTTGTTTATTTCAGTCTGTGGTTGCGATGAACCTTTGGGTTATCAACTTTACTTTGTCCTAAAAATAACCGTCTACTAGACTAAGATGTCAATCTGCAGAAAATTCTTGTCTTGGATCTTTAGGTGAATAATATTAATGTAGACATTGCATACTGTCCCCTTCTCCTTTTGTCTTCCTAGTTAAAAGTTCCTTCCATGTGTGACTAGGCTAGCCAAAGCAACAGATTTTTGGGTGTCCGTTCCTCAACTAACCTTTATTGTTTTCTCTTTACCTAATTATTATTAACTAAAAATTTTATGTGGGCCCAAGAACCTTAGCACAAGTGGCATCAAATACATTTAGGGATACTGCACAACAAAAACAACTGATGGTAGTTGTAGAACAAAAGGCTTTATAAACCCCTACACTAGAAACTCATGCTTTTAATGTGAGACCCAAGTCATATGCACCTTGCAATTGGATCATTTGAAGGTTCAAATCTCAGTTTTTCTATCCTTTGGGTCTCCTTCTGCTCATTATCCGTGGTAATGCTCAAGTTGATCAAGATGTTTCTTCAACCCACCTTGAGGATTCTGAAATAACAAATTAGACATTGATTATGCATTATTTGACAGCACTTCTACATAGAGCTTATCTTTTAACAGAAGGCATTGCACTGGTGATCATCAATCTTTTCCCCACAAATATAATATAGCAATGCATTTGAATTCATTTTCTGTTACAATTTTCAGATGAGTAATTAATTTATCTTATTTAAAAAAGATGGTAATGTTTAATATATTAATTAATACCAATTTTATTATTTGTCGTATTTTGGTTATGACCAGTAAGAGAGGGTGGTAGTTAAGTTAAACATTTCATAGAATAGTGACTTAAAAATTTGAAACCATAATATTGTAACTATTGAGAAATATTCCGTGATATTTCTGACTTAAAAAGTTTGTTCGAATCACGGTTTACTGCAATACGGAAATCTACTGTTGAATGAATTATATTCAGATGGTAAAACATTTTTTCTAGACAGACTTTTTTTCTTAAAAAATAAAACAAACAGTTTTTTATGAAATTATTTATGTAAGCCAATACCCAGTTGCTTCTTTTTATGTTTTTAAATTTTCTAAATTATTAGGTATAATCAGTTTTTCTTGCTAATTTCTTATTCATCAAAACTAGTCTCATAATATAATTAATTTTGAGTAAACCAGGGAGAGATGTGTATAAAGCTTACTAAAAGGTTGATTCATTTACTGAAAATTGAGGCTCATTTACAAAAGTGCCGAGATTCAGCTTTACATGTTCAACTTAAGAATGGTTAGGTAAATAAGTCCAACACACTAAACAAAACTAGTCATATAAGAGCTTATTGAAATAATCATTAAAAAAATCTCAGGTCATAAGCCGATTGTATTAACTTAAATAAGTTGCATACAACCTCTTCCAAACACATACAGTAATCCATAAGCTTACTTGATTTATCACATGTAGACAATTTTAAATTAAGAAGAAATATACTTTAGTTTAATAGTTTAATTTTTTTATATATGATCATTTTTTACATTATCAATCAATTAGAAATCAACTTAAATATAACTTTTAAAATAATGATTATAAAAAAAATAACATTATTGTCATAATGTCAATCTATGATGGGATGATAGTGTATAAAAACTTTATATTGTCAATACATTTTAATTAAATTTTTAGTTTAACAAATATAAGCATATGTTATTTTTTATTTTTGACTAAACTCTCTTTACCTATTTATATATTAAAAAGGAAAATTTTACTAAATCTCCTATATATTTTCTTTTACTGTAAAGGCTCTGTTATTTTTTATTTTGACTAAACTCTCTTTAACTATTATATACTAAAAAGGGAAATTTTACTAATTTTTTTTTTACTGTATTGGGGTGATATGTTTTAAAAAATTTTAAAAGATAGAAAAATAATATACACTAATAGTGTAAATTACAGTCATATTTTACTCATAAAATTTTATTTTTATACTAATAGTTTAAAATCGCCATAACATTTAGTCAGTGAAAAACCACCAGATATTACTTCTATTAAAAGCAGTTTTATTGAAAAAAATATATGACTTACATCATTATAGTAAAATTGTTAAAATGTTGACTACTTGACAACTTTAAAAGTTAATTAGCCCATTTCAGTCAAAACAGTATACTAAATCATGTCATACATGTGTAAGAATAATTCAATCTCAACTATTAATTTATTTAAATAATATACGGAACGGTTAAAAATAAATAAAAAGTTGGAATTCTTATTGAGCTTAGCTTAAGTACTGTTAGCACTGCTGAATTGCACTTTAACTTGGATAACGCCTTATACAAAAGCACAAAGAGTAGTTTGGTTTGTGTTCACGATTTACTGAAGTAGAATTAATAAATGTAATGGTTTTCATCGCTACATGCACATTATCATAAAGGTTCAACATCTATTATAAAAAGTAAAACTTCTCTAAGTCAAAAATATCAGATTTATCTTATCTTACTGGTACTAAATCCATGAAAGTTTCCCATTTTATTTTTTAACCCAATTTTAAACACATTTTTTAAACAAAAAAAAAATTAAAACGTCGATTTTTCCATATTAATTGTTACACTCATTCTAAAATCCTACCAATTAAAATATTAAAGTTATTAAAAAATATTAAGACATGTTAATCACAAGTAATTACAAATTCAAATCATTTAGATATAAACATTATAAATCAATATATATTGCGTCATTTTTTCCTCATATTATAAATCAGTCTATAATTGAAAATTAATATACCATTCTTATCATTGTATATTAAGATATTAAGATTTTAATTTTTAATCTTATCAAGATTAACACATATCTTAATGTTAATCTTAATAATACTAAATGTAGATAGTCTCTCATTTTATTTTTTTCGTTCAATCTCAGACACATTTTTTCAAAAAAAAAAAATTCTAAGACAAATTGATTTTATCATACTAATTATTGCACTCATTCTAAAACTCTTTTCAAATAATTAGCATATTTTATTATTATTTTTTCAAGTTATATTTATACTGCGGGTATTAAAAACAATTTCTTGAGTTATGCTTATATTGGGATGAACATTTCTTCATCTGTATTTATATTTTTTTATACAAATTTATTGTATGTAAATATGAATGATAGTTTACAAATTAGTTTTTTATTTGATAGGGATTGCTTTTGTGACACCGCTCTATTAAAAAATGAAAATCATATAAATCTAGTGTATCTTGTAGGCATCATATTTTAATGCAATCTTATATTTGACAAATTGAGACTCCTTTTTACAACTATTTAAGTGGAGGATGAAAGCACTTGCAAATCCAACAATATCAAGGAAGGAACTAACATATTAATCACAGTAATAAAGGACAATCATGATTGTATTTACCTTATTTCATGTAGTTATGTTAGTTTACATTAATATATGAAGTTTATAGTTTTTAAAACACTCCTTTTAAACTCCCACAGGATAAACAATCTTATTGAATTGGTATTTAATTTCATCTTGGATAAAAAAAATGAGCACCTATTTTTATTTTTAGATATTGTCAATTTTATATTGATTTGGGTATTTGTTAAAGTAATTTCTTTTATACATAGAGTGAAATGATTTCTTTTGATTTAAGTATATTAATATTATAATTTCTTAAATGTAATTAGTATAACTTTCACGACTTATATTATAAGGTCCATTGTTTTATATATTAAATTTATGAATAATTTTAACTTCAATTGACTCAATATTGATTTTTTAGTATTTTTAATTAAGTCAATTAAAAAAATAAAATAATAGAATATTTTTTAAAAGTAAATTAAACATTTCATTATTGGTATTATTTTGATTTCAATATCTGACTTTGTTATTTAAAACCATCTATAGAAGAAATTTTTTTTTTTTATAAATCTAAAGTGGAAGTAGAGAACAATTTATTTTTTAAATTTATAAATAATTATTAAATATATCGTGCATGAGTAAAACAACTAGTTACAGTTATTTATGAAAAAGATAGTTAAACAAACTTCTGCAGAAGTTAAAATAACAAATTAATTTGAACTTTTATGAGAAATTTAATTTATTTTACTTTTTTTCCTCCTGGAAAATGCTTGTTAAAATATTTAACCTAAATGTCCCGATGCACACTATGAATATCATCCATAGATATGTTGGAGGAGCAAGTATAACATCATAGGTTCCCCCCATAGTACAAGCAGCTTTTAACAAGGGCTGGGAACAAGTCTGCAAGTATATCGACAACCATAGTTAAACTTCAATCTCAAAAGTACTTTGCCTAGACAAGAATCTGTTTAACATAACTAATAATTACTGCAACTTTGAGAGGATAAGTTCAAGTCCTACTTTCAGCACATTCTGACTTTCAAAACCAAGTGATAGAGAATGAAATTGCAGTTTTTATGTGGCTCAATTCTGCCGCTACCCCGATGTCATGGAAGAAACAAGTTTAAAATAAAAGTGAATTTCACGAATTAAATATGAATTCATCTTCTTTTTTTTCCTTTCTCTTGCACCAACTAATCCAAATCCCATCTTTTAAATGATTTGAACACAGTAACTTGACTTTTACATGTAGTACATATGCAAAGTGAAGCAGGTAAATTACAAACAATTTTATTCACAAAACTTTAGTTACCAGTATACTACTTTCTGGCCAGAAATAGAGATGGGATTGGATCATTACCCAATGGGCATTTTAATAACTGAGTATGGAATTAGGTTTGAGCGAGTAATTTTAGTGAAAGGAGGGGAGTGCTTAAAGACATCAAGTAACATAAACACAACACTGTCAACACACGCATCTGCACTGCTTTTTTATTGCAAGAGCAATTCACTGTCTCAGACTCTCAGATGAAAGTGGGGAATCAAAAAGTAGAAAGAAAACCCCAGCAAAGAAATTTCAACAGTACTATCCAGGGAGAAATAAATAAGAAATTTCACAGGAGTAGTGCCATGAAACCTTTTCCATGATCCAGAAAACCAAAAAAAACAGTAAATCCCTGCTTTACTCATACTTTACAAGGGCAGCAACCAAAGCTCTGTAAGTAGGGGGGAGAACAAATCTTTATCCTTAGTATGATTTCCCACAATGTATCAAGCTTCCAGCACCCAAGAAAAGACCAAAAATAGCAGCACTTCCAAGTGTAGTTTGTCCAATATGCCTAATTTTCAAAAGTCCAGGTACCTGCATATCAATGGACTAATAGATATGAATACTGCTACATATGAACCATGAAAATAGTAACTCACTTTCACATCTATGATAATGTAAATCGATATCAGTACAAAAGATTTAAGATGTATGTTTTGACAACCCAGTTAAACTTTCTTTAGTTTTTGGCTGAGGTGGTGGGTGGTACTGGCATGGTTAATGTTTGGGAAAATTAGGGCCAGCTGTTGAGAGGATCTTTAGACTAGAGTGCTAATACCATAAATAATTTCGGAATTGTGTTATTCACTGTGCTCGCGCACTCACCAACTGTGTATCTATATTTGAACAAATAATAATCAAATACAAGGTTAATTACATAATCGTAAGGAAATCCACATGCAACCCGTATATTTTGCAGAATATAGTATATCATTTGTTTATTTCTGATAACTTATGTTTTACAATAAGCAGTTGCTGTTCTGTGCCACTTAACAAAAGAAACTAAATAACTAGTCTTTCTTCTTAGCACTCAATGTATGAATGCAAACAAAATTTAAAAATGTTTTTCATATAACAAAAGGCATGAGTATGAAACATCTATTGAGACATCATATCAATAAGGAAAGCCAAAATGAAGCTCTAAATAATCTTATTATTGAAGTTCAGAACAAGATCATGTGACATACCTTGTACCTAATAGCCTCATATGTTCCATACACAGCACCTGGAAAGAAGGCAAAGAAAGCAAGAGATTAGGTCATGGTGTATAAGATCTTTTAGATGCAAGTGAATTAGAAATCATGAAAAACCAAGATGAACGTATTCTTAGATGCATTTAACTATAACATTTCAGCCGATAATACAGTTTTACACAACCACCTGGCTGACAATGCCCACTACTTTTTGAAGCAAGATTCGATATCCAGAATAAAGATAATTCACACTTCACAAAACTTCATAGATGAGACTTATGATAAAGAGTCAAGCTCAAGTGGCCAAAACATTTGAGGAACCAAATGTACAGGGGAATTTATGTGCAACTGTACACCTAAATCTAATATTCAATAGAAAACAAGACGCAAATTAATTACAATGAAGCAATCAGTCCCCTTTGACCCTTTCCATTCTACTAGGCAAATATTCCAAGACTTTTCAAACAGACCTAGGCGCATCATACAAACGTTTTGTATGTCTAAAATTGAGAGACTTCCATAGAAATGTCTTCTTGTAACAACATTGTGAAAAGGAACGCATAAATAACCTATTTCAGAATCCCCAAGTTCCAGGAATATAATAGATCTCCAGAACAATTAAAAAGAGCATTGCAAATTTACAACTGGTAACAATAACTTACAGAGGAATGAGGATCCAAAACACATAAAAACAGAGCAAAAAAATCCGACATTAAATTTATCTATCTATCTATTTGGTTACAAAAGAGGTCTAAGATCTAGTGTGGAGCAAAGTTGTCAAACTTGAGAGTCTGTAAACTCATGGACTTGTAAACTCCAGTTTATTTAATATAAAAAGTCATATTAAAACACATACAAATGACATTGACATATATGCATAACATAATACTCTTAACACAACACAACAACAATTCAACATTGCAATTTCATAATAAAGCAAAGTAGCAAGCGACAATAATAAAGTGTGATAGTACATTGGCACCAAATAAGAACAAATTACATAAATGACCAAATCATTCATAAAATCATAAAAAACATAAGATACTAAAGTGAAAAGATTTAAAAAATGAGGTAATTTTTTCAAATCATTTGAGCACAGTAAAACACTACCACTACGGGTCAATGAGGGGAAACAATTATATTTGATTTCAAAATCATTGACTCACTTCTTGATTTGAGAGTTTATGCAAGGTTACACAAGTTTATCCAAAAAAGAGTTTGATAGTGAGTTAAGTCATTTTGTCTATCTAGAATCGTAAAATCATAAGAGTCTAAGAGAAAACTTGAGAGTTTGACAACCTTGGTATGGAGGGGAAAAGGTAGGCAAAAGTTAAAACGTGGCCTTGGTGAAATTGAAACCCAGTATGAACTAGTCCGGAAAGATACCACTCATGCTAAAGCTCTTGGTCTAAAATCCAAGTCTTTTTACATAAAAATAATTAGTTTTATGAATTTAATTTATATGCACTACCAGTGTAAAACTTTTTTACAAAAGCATCCAATAGAAATTCACCATACCACTACATCATCCAATTCATTAATATCATATGGCAGCAGGATGAATTCCTATTGACTACTCTGGTTTGTTTGAGAGAAAAGAAAGAAAACTTTAAAAATTGAATTGAAAAGAAAAAAGGAAGAAAAAAAATGATTTTTTTCTTCTAAAAATGAACTTTTCTCTATTTTTACTTTCCATTTTCTCTTCAACCAGAATAACAAGAATAACAAAACTCTGTCCCACTAGTTTGTCATCACCATTCCCATTGTTTCTCTTCTCCATTTTCTTTCATATCGCGCCAAACAAACCACAAGGTTCATTTTAGTTGTGAGAAATCCCCTCCTATTTTCATTTCCTATTTTCACAAACAATTATTAAAAAAAATACAAATATTTGAAAGCATGTAAGTGAATATTTTGGCAAAAACCCTCGATTCCACTTCAAAACCACCATAAGCCCTAACCCGGAGATTTAACAACACGCATACCAATTAAACAGATATGCACAGAAGAACAAGGTTCTCTAATCAAATCAGTGTAACAAAACCATCGAACTTCACTTCATAGCAAATCTAAAACAAGAAAAAGCGTCAAAGGGTTAAAATTAAAAGACCAAAGCTACAATAAGCAATGCTAGAAACACATATCATCCCAAAAAAAAATACTTTTAAAAAATAAAGTATAAATGAAATAGAAATAAAGCGTGAGGTATGGTAGAAGGTGAAAGTAATGCATATGTGAGACTGACCGACGGCGCCGCCGACAGCGCCGCCCATAGCGGCGCCGGCGGTGACACGAGCGAGGCAACTGTCCCTTGCCATTGGGAGTCGTGTAAGACGCTGTGACTAGTTTTGTTTTCGGGAGAGAACTGTGAAAGTGAAAACCAAACTAACGTGTTCCTCCTTCGTTTTATCCCTAGCTGTCCTGCGAACAGGATGGCAAATATACCCGTACTTGCGGGTAATACCCGTCCTGATTTTAACGGGGAATATCTGGTTTGACCGGGTACGGGTACGGGTACGGGTACGGGTAAAACTCGATATATTAAATCGGGTACGGGTACGGGTACGGGTATGTACTTACCCGCCTCGTACCCGTACTCGTACCCGTCCCCGTTTCCATTTTTAATTTAATACTCACTTTTAATTTAATTATATTAAAAAAAAATTAATATTTTTTATGTGTGATTATTTATTATAATATGAGATAGAAAAATAACTTAATTATAATTATAATATAATAAAAAAAATAATTTAAAAATATTATTTTTTTTACATAAAATAAAAAATAAAAAAATTGACGGGTACAGGTACGGGTACGAGTATATCCGATACCCGACGGGGACGGGAATGAGGATAAAAACCACATACCCGGCGGGTACGGGGACGGGGACGGGGATAGATTTGACTCGCGGGGACGGGGACGGGTATTATAAAACTCGTACCCGCCTCGCCCCGTTGCCATCCTTACCTGCGAATGCATCAAATTAATTTTTAAAATACTAAACATCACTTTTTTGCACTTTTGTCCTGTACTTTTTTCTTATTTTATTTTTTGATTTTTATAATTTAAAATAAAATTTTCTGTTTTTTAATTTATTTTTTAATCTTTAATTTTAATATTTTTATAAGATATATTTTGTAATGTAAGCTTATTAAATTTACATAACAATAATATATTTGATTTAGTGAGTGACAATGTGCAATGTGTTACTCACCGTATATTTAGATATTAGTTTAAAATCACATTCAACTAAAATAAATTTTTTTATTGAAAAAAATTTTTTATAAAGAAAATTACGAAAGTAAATCCCTTCTTTATTTACACAAACGAATCCTTTTATTGTAGAAGTTTAGAATTTGATTCTAGGAGATAGAACTCTGAGCTTTGTTTTTCACATGTCCAGTCATTTTCTGGTCGAAATTCGGTTCTTCAGGAGCCGGATCTCGAGCAAGTATTTTTTTATTTTAAAAAAATGTTTTTAAATGATAATTTATAATTTTAAAATGTAATTTTTTGTAAATTGATCATTTATATTTTATTTGAAATATTAAAATAAAATATGTATATAAAAAATAATTTTAAAAAATGATAATTTATATATTTAAAATTTAATTCTTTTGTAAAATGATAATTTATATTTTTATTTAAAATAATAAAATAAAATATGTATATAAAATTAATACAAATAATAAATAATAATAAGTTTCTATATTAATTTAAATATGTAAAATTTTGTTAATATTTTATAATATTAATATGATAAATTAATTATAAACACAAATTTACACATTAAATAAAATAAGTTAATTAATACTAAATATTAGTGTGTAAGTTGTAAGAAAGTGGTTAAATAAAAGGTAATTACTAACATTAATCTAGACATGATACATTGAAAAAATATAGGTTGTAGGCAACATAAATCAATGATGGCCATAAACAATGTTTGGACATGTTTTTCTTGTGTGACCAGGGCTGTGACAATAAGAATAATCTTTTACACGACTTTTTTGTTCTCTAATGTCTATCTTTGTTCTTATTTCGCTTGACTTGGGTCGACCCTTGGAAATTCTTTTGAATTCTGGATTTGGGCACAAAGTTAGGTTAGTGTAAGTTAGCCAATAGCCTTCATGTCTGAATTCTTCAAATTGTCCTTCATATACCTTAGAGACTCGTTGTAAGGTATAGAAGGGAGATATGTAAATGTTAAAGTTGTGGTGTGCGTGTAAGCATGAAGCAATTACATGCGAGCATGGGATGTGAACTTTTTGGAACTTGCCACAGTCACACTACATCTCATTTAACCTTACTGTAAATGTTCTTGCTAGTCAAACTTCTCCCGGATGTTATGTCTCTTCCACTAAAAATCTTGTGCTTGTTCTGTCAAAGGTGATCACTTTATGAGTGTTTGCCTTTGATTGTGCATCTTGAATTTTTTTTATGCAACTTCCGAGTAGACATGTCCAACATTAATCATGGCATCTACCTTCCTACCTCTCTTGACGAAGAATTTGTTGCAACAGGTGTATGTTTCCATGACCATGGAGAAAATTGGGAGTTTTCTTGTTTTCTTTAGGATCAAATTAATTGACTCTACTAGTCCCCAACGTCATTCGTTGTCCCATGCAAGTGTCCATTTGTTCCTTGGGATGTTGTCCTACCATTATGATGCTTCTAGATTATTATCTCTTTCTATGTTGTAATAATAAAAGAATCTGGGCCCAGTCATCTCATATGTTGAAAAAAAATTTATAAATTAAACTAATATAACTGCTAACCAAGTGTAGAAAGTAATAATAACTGTAGAAAGTAATAAAATTACTCATATTGTTGACATCTTTCTTCAGTACAATGTTTTAGAACCGTTGCATGAAGTTTTGTGCAATATGTCTAATGCAATACACATAGACAGAATTGTTTTCTATCCAACCACTTCCATTTCTGGAGCATGCACCTCTGATAGCCTCGTGACGATCTGAAATGAGGCACAACCCCTCTTATGGTGTTACTTTTCGTACAAAAATGTTTTATCCACTTGAACAATTGACTTGTAGTGAGCAAAACCATCAATGCATGACTTGAACGTCCAAAATAGCCTCTTGAAGAAAACGTTACCCTCGTCCAACACATCAACTTTGTACGTCAGTTGTGTACTCAACTTCCAAATGAAGCCGGGGACATACAGTTGCATTGCTTGCAACAAACTAGGTAACTTGTGATACGATTCCTCCTAATTTCCAAAAATATTTTCAATTACTAGTTGTTTCGCCAGCTAGCCTTTCTATAGTTGATAGTGTAACCCATTATTGACTTTATGTGGGCTATGGTAATTGAGATGGGTGTGGGAGGATTAACCTCAATAACTTCACGAATGGTTTGGGAAATCATTCGTGATCCCAACTTATTATGATCTTTTGAAATTAGTGGCAAAACACATGTGTGGGATCCTTTGAGCTTCATTATTTCCCAATATTGCTCTTTGGGGCACAATATTGCTCGACATCGCCAATCACACTCGCCATGAACACATTCCATGACAACCCTAGCTTGGCTTGACAACTTCACCTTGTACGTGCAGTGATTGACAATATGATATTTGTTGATGGCGTCTTGCACTTGTTCTTTTGTGATGAAGCGTTGACCAACAAATAGTGTTTCGAGCGGATAGACTACCGTTTCACGATCTAGAACATGACTAAACTCCAAATCATGTTCATTTATGTGAGTTGGAAAGTCTAGAAAATGTTGAGGTGGGTTGTATGTAGAGCCGTCAAAATAGGTTGTGGCCCGTGGGCCAACCTGGCCCACCTTAAAAACGAGCCGGGTCGAGCCAAAATAAACAAACATTTTATTGTAAGTGGATATATTTAAACCCGACCTACTTTCACCTGGCCCACCCGAGCTGAACCCGTGGTGGGTCAGGCAACCCACTAGCCCACCCATTTTTTTTTTAGTTAAGCACAATTGTAAGTCTGTGACTGCACACACACACACCAAAGTCCAAAACAAAAAACCCTATTCAATTTCTTCCTTTTCCATCCAGCCACCACGAGTCCACGATGCAACCAGGCCAGGTCGAAATCCCCTTTGTCGAGCTTTTCTGCTAGGTCATCCAAAAAGGAAGCGTCGTCATCATGGTTTGAAGCGGCATCGAGCTCTTCTACGAGTGTTTCACCATTTTCCACAATTTAGGTGCTGGATGCAACTGATAATGAACCTTGGGGTCCTCATGGTACTGCACTGGCAGAGATTGCACATGGCCACAAGCTACTAAAAAATTGTAAATAGATTTCTATCTCTATTCCAGTTATTTTACTTTTTGTTTGTTTTTTATTTTCATATTTAGAAAGTTTCTAATACTTTTTGTCTTTTTCTAGTAAGTTGATTGCGGTGAATGGTCTCTCTGTAAATTAGAAGTAAGGTGCAAGACCTGATGCACTTCTCATGTTAGTCTTTATATCAATTAATAGTAAGAATAAAGAGTGAAGCCACGTAGTTCAACTTTCATCATTTGTGTGGGTGAAAATTCCAGCGAAAAAACATAGGTTACAATTGCAATAATCACAAAATTTGTCTTACTATATAATTGGCCTTGTTTAATGGTGCCGTTGCAGTAAGAAAATACATTATTTATTTAGAATATTTCATTAAACTTCACCATTGGTTTAACCCATGCTTTGAGTGATTGATGCTCTTTTATAAGCTTAAGAGAATGATATTAGTGCCTTGTTAGTACCAGAGGTCCTCATAATAAATTATTATTGTTTCTCTTTCAAAGTTCAAATTGTAAGTTTATGAATTAGCAAATAAGCTCAATCCAACTACCATTTAAATAAAATTGAAAATTTATATTCCATTATGCTCTAATCTTCCTATTCCATTACATGACTATTGTTGTAGTTTTCATTATAATTTTATCCATTTTAATAGTCCCTAGGATTACAAATAAGACATATCTTTTGGAACAACTTTCTTTTCCCTTCTTCCACTCAAGAAACAATTCATAATAGAGTTTTCTAAGGAAAAAAAAGAAAAGTATACAAGAGTGCAGGAATGGAGTTTTGTTGTTTAATTGATAAGTTCTTTCACTTCTCAATTCAAATATTTAATTATTGAATAAATATATAATGATGTGAATAATAGTTTAATACCTTCTATATATTATTAATTCTTTGCTATATATTTTTACTAGTGATATATTGGTATTTGATTGTATGAGTAACTTTCTTTTTATTAATGCTTTCAATATACAAAATGGAATCTGAAACCCATGAGCAAATTATTGATGCTGGGTTAAATGAATAACTTTCTCCTATTATTGAAGATATTGATGATTATAGGCCAACTAAGAAGCCTAAAACAACCACATCTAAAGTTTGGGATAATTTTACTAATCTTGGGGTAAAAGATGGTAAAGAAAAATCTAAATACAACC